TAGTTGCTGAAATAGAAGAACTTGAACTTGAATATTTATTTAAGTAAGTGTAGATAAAAAACAAAACGATACTTCGAATATTTGAAATATATTTAATGACATTTATATTTTAGTTATATTCGTTATTTGAAAACATTTCCTAAATATGCTGATATGACTGAAGAGGAAATCTTACGTGAAGTTGAAAGTGATCCACATACATTACGTCAACGAACAAAAGAAATTTTAAAAGGAAAAATGTCTGATTCATATGCAGCTTATATTGCTAAATATCCAATAAAGTATGATAATAGTATTTCTTTTGTTTAAATCAAATAAACAATATTTTATTTCATTCTAGAAAACAACGTCGACGTGAACATCCAACATCACCAAATAAATATCGTAAATGTTCACGACGATGTTTTGATGGACAATTACGTACATGGCGTCGTAATTTACATCAATTTGATGAAAATAATGAATATAATAAACAAGAATTGACAGATACTATTGAAATAAATAACATCAATGAACTTAATCAACCAACATTAACAACGTAATACAATTTCAATACTAAAATTTCATTCATTTTCTTTTTATCTAGTACCATCAATGATCAAGCTAGATAAAACGTGAAACAAATGATCGATTGCATTCATCAGACTGTTTTATTTGATATGGAATTTTTTTTTCTTATATTTAGTCAGATATATACTTAGATATTAAAACGAAATAAAAATGAAGGTGTTCTAAAACATTTCCAGATATCTCTTAAAATATTCGCCAATTATGATTATTTTCATTATTTGTTGGATCAAGAATAAGTAATTCAGCAGCAGCTGAAGGTGCTGATGGTGGTTTTGAAGGAAAATAAAGTAGAGCAAGAACACAAGCAATAAATGCAAGACCTAAATGAATATAGAGTAGACGAGGTACATGTTCAGGTAAGGCAACAATGAATGGATTAATAACAAAACCAATTGTTGCACCAAAATTATTTGCAAATATAGCTATTGTTGTTGCACGTGTTCGTTCATGTGGTGCAAACCAAAGACATGAAAGTTGTGAAACAGGTGCCATAACTAATGGACCACAAGCAGCATTTAATATCTGACCAATATGTATAAATGGTAATGCAACCTTATTAAAATTTAGGTCTGATGATGATGTTATAATAACTGATGGAAGCACACGAGAAAGTGCTGCTAAAAAATCAGTAACTGCAAGTACAATAACACAATACCGTAAACCATTAGGTTGATTCAATAAAATTGAAGTTAATGGTAAACATGGAATAAAAATTATAGGTCCCCAATTGAGAAGAAGATCAACAGTTGCTTCAGTTATATTATAATAATTTTCTGTGTTTCTTGCAATTGGAGAAAATGTTAACCATATAGTACATTGATTGAAAGCAAGCAATGAAAAAACAAATAGAACATAAAATCTACTCGAATATACTTTATAAGCAAATGTTGAACTTGGTAGGATGGGAATTTTCGTTTCATCACTTTCAGATATCATCTGCTAAATTTAATACAAACTTCAGATAATAAAACGATCTTAACTTGACTTACTTCTAGACTTCGTTCTGCTCGTCAAGAAAAGAAATATTATAAGAAAGCAAAAAAACAGCGAATTCAAGATAAGCATTCGATAGCAAATGAATATGACATAGTAAAGATATACCAGGTATATTTTATCTTTATTTTAGAAATATAACTAAATATGTTCTTCAAAGTTGAATTTAATTCAACTATTGAAGAAGTAGAAATTTTTAATATAAACATCAGATTATGAGCAATTGATTGAAGAAAAAAGTTTCCATTTCTAGTTGAACTTTCTCTTTTCATACATATAAAGCACTTGAGTATTTTACTCAAGAAAGTCATGTGATATGAATACATCCTGAAGTTTTTTGGCAAGTTCTTGTACTTGAACTTTGGATTCCAATACTTCACATGTTTGTTCCTATCGTAAACTATCAGAAATACTACTCCGTTGGATTCGATTCTCTGTCACAAATATGAAAAAACGATATCTGTGATGTATAAAACTAATTTTAATTACATATTACACGTGATCTATTCCATTTGTTTATTTCAAGTATGCTCATTGGTATCATCTTCATAAGTTCAGCATATATGAGATTCTTTAAAATGTGCACGTAACTCATGTAACCATTCAAGTACTAGTCTATGGAAAAAAATCATGTTCTATGACCACATCTTTAAGTCTGTGCATGTCACAGACATAAAAAGAAAAAGTTCGACTTCGAAGGGAAAATGAATCAATTAATTATTTTTTAAATGTCTATAGTATAATTATTAAATACAATCTTCTTTGACATATATTATTGATTGATATCGATAATACGGTAAATTTTCGTCTGATTCAATTAATTGAACCATTTATAATTTAAATCATTATTAGGCTTCGTATAAGACATTAAAAAAGATATGATCTTTATATTTATTTTTAAAATCGCCGTTCGAATGAGATGCCGACGAAAAGCACAAATATTTATATATATAATGTCTTTTTACAACGACTGTATAACAAAAAAAAATGAATAATCATTATATTCTATTTTAAGACAGAAAAAAGAAGGATGAGAATATAATATGAATAAAGATTATGTAGACTGACATACAACATTCGAGAGATTGAACACACATACACATACAGAGTTATAGAAAAAAAAAAGAAACAAACGACAAGTAATGAATAAATCAAGACTGAAGTTCGCCAAATTGAGCACAACATAATTTACAACGCCAATCACCTTCAGGTGCTTTCGATAGTGGTGGAGAACAACAATACATATGATAACCACTAAAAATAGAAAATTATAATTAATATACAGTGAAAAAAGAAACAAAATTACTTACCGATCACAATCATCACAAAATAAAAGTTCTGAATCATTTTCCGAATTACCACATTCTGTACATGTTTTACATTCCATACATTGCCATGCATATGTTTTAACTTGACGTACCATATTAGGAGTAAATTTAAGACAAGTTGGATGTGCTGAACCACCACAATCCTAATAAAAAGATAAAAAAAAAAAACAATACATGTTTACATAATAATTTATTGAAATTACTTTGCAAGTTATCATTTGTTCTGGTAATTTTGTTGTTTTATTTTCTTGTTCATCACCACCACAGAAATCACATTGAAGACCAGTAGTAATACCTGTTGTTGTACCAACTATTGAATTAGGTTGTTTTGGCATTTGTTGTTGTTGTTGTTGAAATTGCTGCTGTTGTTGCATTTGTTGTTGCATCATCATCATACGTTGTTGATGCATCATTTGATGTTGTTGTGGAGGATAATGTGGTACACCACTTGCAGGTGATGAACCAGATAGAGCAGCTACAGTAAGTGGCATTGAAGCTGATGGTGGCATTCCTTGATGATATGAATGAGGTGGCATTGAGTATAATGGTGGTTGCTGTTGCTGATGATTCATTTGATAGGGAGATACTGACATATTTGATGCACCACTCGGAGGAGGTAAATATCCACCTACATAACAAAAAAAAAAAAACATTCGTAAAAATTTCGAATTTCTATATCAGTATTCTTATTACCAGGATTATTATGTGGCATAGGACCACCTGTTGGTGGTTGATTTGAATACATTGGATGTTGTTGCTGTTGTTGTGGTTGATGATCAATAGGTGAATTCATATATTTTTGTTTCATAAGTGTTGCTGGTGCATTAGATGATGATGGTGATGATGATGAACCACCACTATCAGCAGTTGAAGGTGTTGGTGGTGATGGTCGATAATCTGTATTTGTTTCTTTATGTTTAGCTAAATGATATTGAAGTCCTGGTTTTGTTTTATATCGTGCTGGACAAAATTCACAGACAAATGGTAATTCAGCTAATGTATATTGTTGACGACGATTACCAGTCGGCGGTGTATTATTAGTCATTCCACTATTAGCAGTATTTCCACCAGCTATTCAAATTAAAAAAAATAATAATAATTAACATTATATTCGTTGTTTTCTCTTTAATTACCACTCTTTCTCGAACCAGTTTGTGATAATCGTTTTGTAGAACTACCACGTTTTGAACGTGTTATTGTTGAAGATGGAGGTGATGGTGGACCACCAGGTGTACCTGGTCCACTACCACCACCACTACCAACACCATAATCATCATAATCGAAATCATCTAGATCATCATCAGCATCAAGAATATAATTACTTGAATGAAGATGATGATGATTATGAGATGTATTATGTTGTGGCCAATGTGGTTGTTGAGGTTGTACAAGACCAGTCATTGGTGGTGCTGATGATTGCGATGAATCATCACTTGATCCACCTGTAAATCGACCGCCTACCATACTTGGATTTTCTATAGTAGAAATAACATGAACATCTGCATCTGACATTCCTATAAATAAAAAACAAAACATGTATAAAAAATTTTTTTTCTTTATAATCAATTTTTCATTATATTCTCATACCTAGATCACCAGCTCGTACAACCATACGAGGATCATCATCAGTTGATGTTTGTAGTATTCCATTAACATTACTATTTTTAATAGGTGATGAAATGGATTGCTGTTGTTCATTAGTATCATTTGTATTTGTTATCGATTGTGATTGACTTATTGAAGTTGGTGGATTTGGTCGTTTTTTATGCCATTGTTTTCGTGCATAGGTTGCTACTTGATCATGACGAATAGGCATAAGACGTTGTGTTGGATGTTTCCATAGATAATTTTGTGTTGGTGTTTGAATAATATGAGTTTGTGAATCAACAAATGGTAAACGTAAACGAATACGTCTTTCACGTAAAAGACGTGAATTAAATTTATTTACATTTGATAAAGCATCAGAATAAGATACTTCTGAACCAAATGCACGAATTACACGTGATGGTAATAAATCAATCATTCTCTTTCAAATACAAAATATTTTTTTCAAAAAAAAAAAAAAAACAAAAATAAGGCGTTGAAAAAATTACTAGTACTCCATCGATAAAATGACAAACTTCTATCTTTGTTTATATGAACTTCATATATCATTTAGTCATGATCAGAAGCATGAATTAACCAATAGGAATTTAAACCTCTACAATATAGAACAAGAAATAGAGAGCGCTTATTTGACATATTCTCTGTGTACTATTTATTGATTGAATAAACGAATAAAAAGAAAGAGAGGCTTTTTTTTTTTTGGTCGATTCTTTGTTTGATTTTTTCACGTATATTGACCAGCTTATTTGATAATTTCGTACGAAATTATAAAAATGATAACTTATAGTATTAAACAATTGATGAGTCTTTGTTCGGATTATGCACTTGATGCACAAATTCAAAAGATTCTTTTCTCATTGGATTTATGGGTACCTAAAGCAGCTCGAGTATGTTTTATTTTTTTTTAATGATCTATAATATTAATTGACTTTTATATTAGGAAGTACAAATTGATACCGTAGCACAACAACAGTATGCTTCAGCTGTTTTTTCTGGTTTTAATCGTGCTAGGTTTGCTATTTTTGTTTTTAACAAATTGTAATTAATTTTTATATCATCGCTTTCATTTAGATCTCCAACAAGAAATGATACCATAATTAGCAATCATAATGTTAACAATAAATTACGTCGTACATTAGTATCACGATCGATGTCAGCTGAAGTTTTTCATAGTTCAATTGATATAGGATATAATGGAATAACATCAAAGAATGAGTATATCTTATATTTTTGAAATATAGAATGTATATATATGTTTATGTTTATTCTTATTTGAATAGTTTACGAGATTTAAATAAAACTAATACAGCATTGATTAAAAAATCTAGCAATGGACATAATCTTGATGAAACATTACAAACAGGTCAATCACAAATTAAATTAATGCCTATTTTAGAAGGTGGTGAAAATGAAGATAAATTCAATGAACAACAACAACAACAACAAACAAGATCTAATAAAGAGATTTCATTAACAACAACAACACTTGATTGGACACCAACTGAGTAGGATTTTAATTAAAAATAAAGAAAATTACATGCAAAACTTGTTTCAGAAATGAATCATCAACTACTGCTGGTCGAACATCAATTGATGCACTTTTTGAATTAAGTGTTCGTGCTGATTCAGCTCTTAAAACAGCTTTATGTGAAAATGCAGTAATAACAACAAATATTTCACAAAATAATTCTAATACTGATCGTATTACTTTACGTAAAAGTGTCAGTGTTATGAATCAAAAACAAAAAACTGGTAGTGGTCGTTCACTTATACGTGCTAAATCGGATATGGCTGGTAGTGATGCAAGGTTATTAAATATATTCTTGTTCTTTTTTTATAGTACTGGTCAAAAATACAAGACTAAAGTACATTTATGTCTGTTTCTACGTTAACAAATATTGATCGCGTTTCCAAAAGAGTGATTTGAATAAGGACATGAAGTTTTATATTAAATGCGTTCTCTACCGAGATCTCATAAAGAAAGATTCCTGAAAAACTAAACACAGTGGTTTCCGAGCCTCAGAAGATTATGTGAAAACTATTTTTGAAAAACATAAAAGTCTGAATACAATGAAGGTTTGCTGTATTTTCTACGATCTTCGCTTAAAATATTAAGATGTTACTCGGGGAAAACTATCATGTTCGATTTTTCAGAAATCTTTCTCTGATGTTCTATCTATGAAATTTTGATAGACAATATATATTGATAGAGAAATTCGTTGGTCTTTCACTTTTAACCAATTCTGTATATAAATATGTTCCAGTTTTTTTTTTTTGTAGTCGTAAACGTGCTTTAGCACATATTGCTCGTGCTTCGGAACGTTATTTTAGTGATGATCCAAAACTAGTTGCTGAAATAGAAGAACTTGAACTTGAATATTTATTTAAGTAAGTGTAGATAAAAAACAAAACGATACTTCGAATATTTGAAATATATTTAATGACATTTATATTTTAGTTATATTCGTTATTTGAAAACATTTCCTAAATATGCTGATATGACTGAAGAGGAAATCTTACGTGAAGTTGAAAGTGATCCACATACATTACGTCAACGAACAAAAGAAATTTTAAAAGGAAAAATGTCTGATTCATATGCAGCTTATATTGCTAAATATCCAATAAAGTATGATAATAGTATTTCTTTTGTTTAAATCAAATAAACAATATTTTATTTCATTCTAGAAAACAACGTCGACGTGAACATCCAACATCACCAAATAAATATCGTAAATGTTCACGACGATGTTTTGATGGACAATTACGTACATGGCGTCGTAATTTACATCAATTTGATGAAAATAATGAATATAATAAACAAGAATTGACAGATACTATTGAAATAAATAACATCAATGA